CAGGGTCACTATGAGGTGGAACCGACTTGACAGCACATAACAACAACAATAACAATGATTTTGGCTAGTAACAATAATGATAATAAGAGTCACCATTTATTCAATACTTAGGTACTGAGCTAGGCAGTCTTCTATGTGCTCTACCTGAATGCTGCTGCTGTAACTATGAAATAACTACTAAATTACTATCCTCGTGTTCACAGATGGGGACACCGAGGCACAGAGTGATTGAGTACTCTGGTAAGTAGCAGAGCTGGGATTCAAACCCAGGCAGTCTGACTCCAGAGTTGAAGCTTCACCCTGACACCTATTACTCTACAGGAAGCAAAATGAGTCCCTGGGGAGCATAACTGGTTAAGCTCATGACTACTAACTAGAAGGCTGGAGGTTCAAACACATCCAAGGGAACTGGGAAAAAAAGCCTAGCAATCTGCTTCTGAAAACCGGCCACTGAAAACCTTATGGGGCTGTTTTTCTCTGCCACAAAAGTCAGAATCAACGTGACAACAGTTTGTTAACTTACGGTTTATAGGGAGCAAGGGGAACAGGAGAGGGCAGGCTGGGAGTACCCAGGAAGAAGACAAGGAACTACCAAAACAGCTTCCATTTTTGCTGTTTGTGCTTAATCTTACCTGAAGAGATACGTGCTGAAACAGATCATTATTTCAGCAATTAAACTGGTTCCCTAGTTTCTTAAGGTTTCAGGTCATTGAGTTTAAAATGCAATTTGAAATGCGTTCACAAAATGATTAGTTCAAAAATGACTGAGTCATGTCCTTTCCTCTCATTAAGTATCTATTTAATATATCTAATTAGAAAATGTCCACATATCTAGTTATACTATCACAGAGCTAAATTATTTACAATTGGTCACGGTAGAACCACTTTCACCTGGTTAGAACATGATAAATAATTAACACCAATGGCCGAACACAGAAGTTTTTGACTTCATCATAACTAGGAATAAAAATATCAGAGCAGAGAAAAATTATAATGTAGAACACATATGCTACGCATTAAATATAGGCACATAACACTGTATTAAGTTCCTGGACGAACATAAGTCCAATGTATATAAAACTAAGTTTTAATGATTTGTTTTTGTGGTTTTCATTGTATGAAGTCAATGAGACAGGCAGAGATAGGATCATGGATGACTGAACACCAGTTTGGCATTGGGGTTGGGAATGAATAAGACCTGGAAGGGCATCTAGACAGGCAGCGATGGGATCATGGATGACTGAACATCAGTTTGGCATTGGGGTTGGGAATGAATAAGGGAATCTAGAAAAAATGGTGACTGTGGCGTAATTGTTGCCTTTCGTTTTCTTAATGCTTTTATTTTGTCCTAAGTCACCACTGGAGGGGGAGACACACATCTTCTGGGCTGGTGTAGACACAGGGATATTCTGCCAGTCAACACAGGTTGTACTGACTAGCAAGCAGGTCCGTAACTAGTCTTCTGGGTTGGTGGGGGTATTTTACAGGAAGTAGCTTCCACCCTCAAAGAGCTCTGGTGATGCAATGGTTAATTGCTCAACTGCTAACCAAAAGGCCAGTGGTTCAAACCTACCAGCTGCTCCACAGGAGACAAGCCCTGATGATCTGCTACCATAAATAGTAGTCTAGAAAAACTTATGCGGCCGTTCTACTCTGTCACCGTGAGTCATTATGAGTTGGCCTGGACTCCAGGGTACCTAGCAGCAAACAAGCCCCCCACGCACCCACTCTGGGCCTGCCCCAAACTCTGTTCTTAGGTACTCACTGCAGTTGATGACATAAAACTACACAGGGGGGAAGTGGGATGAATGATGTTACCTTGTGAGGATTGCAATCAATGACATGAAATACAACGTGTCTGCATTGTTGAATGCTCTGTAAACCTTCACCCAATTCACAATAAAAAGTCCTTTTGTTTTTTTAAGCCAATTACACATGGAAAGCTCACAGAAAGTGATCAGTTTGTTGGGCAGAATTAAGGGACATGAAGTGGACTGGTACCCAAAATGCTGCCTAGGATTCAGTGCACTTAAGGAAACACCATGGACTATGCAGGGCACCGAAATCAAGCATGCTGGGGGCTCCTACTAGGCACGTTGCTGTCTGTAGGCCTTTCACTAAGGAAGATCATGCTGTCTTCTCCCAGGGGTACAGCTCTGGGAGATGGTAACACAAAGTGGGGAGCAACAGAGGGTCACACCTACCTGCTCAGTCACATCGTTCTAAAAATGGATGCACTAATAGTTGCTACAGGAGATTACTCTCAGCCTTATATCCTGGGGTGGCACAGGCCAGGCAATAGATTTCATTTTATTTTATTGATTTTGAAAAGAGAACAGAGGGAGGAAGCAAAAGAGTAGAATTGTTTCTTTTTACATTTGGTAATTCCAAACTGTGAAGCCTAGAGGGATTATCAGAGAAATGAGTCATTCAAAAATCCCCTTTTAGTAGCAAACTCCTCTTTCTTCTAAAACGCAGGCAAATTTTCTTCTTCTTCTTCTTCTTTTTTTAAATGAAGAGTATTTGTGCAAAAATTTCAACAGAGGGCTTCACCAAGATGGGATCAACTCTAAGCATTTGTACATATATAAAGTAGCAAATGTCACAGTGATTAACAGTGCAATACAGAATTAAGGGGATTAAGACTATTTCCCTGAACTCTGTGAGTAGTTTTATTTGTATATAATAATGATTTCATATTTTATGTCATTGCTTTTTTGTTTTTTCCCTTATTTTACTGAAGGAAAGGTAACCACATTTGTGGATTTTATATTTCACTTCAGCCTCAAAAACCCTCAGGGCTAATTCAGACCTGTTGATACCAACTGGCTGTTTCAGAGGCTTCCTGTAGGTTTAGATAACTTCTCTCCTATTTGTTTTCCACTGTTTTATCCTCTAAGCTGTCTCAAGGCCCTTCCAATATAAGCAGGAGGATTTAAATCTTAATAAACTGAAATTTGAATAATGAAGGCAATCTGGGTCTTGGGTGAGGGCAGGGGGGTGTTGAATTATGACATCATCTCTATTTCCCATCCCCACATTATGTTTGTGCAGTGCATACTGACATCAAGGTCAGGAGTAATCAAAATAGAAATAACAATAAAAATGACACTAGTTAAGATATGAACAGCACTTTCTAGTGCATAAGGATTTTCTTTCTTCTTTTTTTTTTTTTTTTTAACAGTTTTTCATTTGATTTTTGGAATAGTTCTGAAATGTTAAAAGAACAGGTGTTATGACCAGTTTTTAAATGAAGCAAGGTGAATCACTAAATGATGAGTAATTCGGGGCAGGTAGAACCAGGATCCGAATTCAGTTCTTATATGGGACCATTATTACTTGGTGGGCAGTTATTACTTAGGACACACTGGTGGAACCGGGATCAGAATCTGGTTTTTCCCCACTGTTGTTGTCAGGTGCCATTGAGTCGGAACTGACTCATAGCGACCTCATGCACAGCAGAACGAAACAATGTCCGATCCTGGGCCAACCTCACTACCGCTGCCACACTTGAGTCCATCAATGATGCCACCTAGCTGATCCATCTCGTTGGGGGTCTTCCTCTTTTTCTCTGATCCTCCATCTTACCCAGCATGACATCCTTCTCCAGCGACTGTTCCCTCCTGACAGTATGTCCAAAGTAAGAGAGACGAAGCTTAGCCATCTTGGCCTCCAAGGAGCACTCTGGCTGCACTTCTTCCAAAACAGATCTATTGGTTCTTTTGGCAGTCCATGGCACTTTCAATATTCTCCTCCAACACCACAACTCAAAGGCATCAATTCTTCTATGATCCTCCTTATTCACTGTCCAGCTTTCGCATCCATATGAAGCTATTGAAAACACAATGGCCTGGGTCAGGCGCACCTTAGTCCTCAAGCTGACATCTCTGCTCTTCAATACTTTAAAAAGTTCCTGTGCAGCAGATTTGCCCAGTGCAATACGTCGTCTGATCTCTTGACTGCTACTTCCACGAGTGTTGATAGTTGATCCAAGAAGAATGAAGTCCTTGACAACTTCAATCCTTTCTCCATTGATAAGAATGTTGTTTATTGGTCCAGTGGTGAGGATCTTTGTTTTCTTGACATTGAGATGCAATCCATATCGAAGGCTGTGCTCTTTGATCTTCATCAGTAAATGTTTCAAGTCCTCTTCACTTTCAGTGATCAAGGTTGTATCATCTGCATATCGCAGGTTGTTAATGAGTCTTCCTCCAATCCTGATGCCACGTTTTTCTTCATAGAACCCAGCTTCTCGTATTATTTGCTCAGCATACAGGTTGAATAAGTATAGTGAAAGAATACAACCCTGTCTCACACATTTCCCAATTTTAAAACATTCAGTGTTTCCATGTTCTGTTCAAACAACTGCTTCTTGGTCTAGGTACAGATTTCTTAGAAGTACAATTAAGTGTTCTGGAATACTCATACTTCTCAATGTTGTCCATAGCTTGTCATGATCCACACAATCGAAAGCCTTTGCGTAGTCAATAAAGCACAGGTAAACATCCTTCTGGTATTCTCTGCTTTCAGCCAAGATCCATCGGATATAGCCTTCTTATAATTTGGTCACATGTGTCAACATCTGTGTGCCAACAATCCCATTCCAATTAGATTTATTGGAAGGCTTGCCTATAAAGCTTATAATAGGGAGATCACAGAAGTTTTTGTTGTCGTCGTTCGGGATTTTTAAAAGATCACCAAAGAGATTGTTCATCAGCTCAATCGATTCTGGGCTCGAAGGGAAAATCCTATATTTGAAACAATGCTCACGTGCTCCTTGGTAGCCCCCTGTCATTTTGGAGGGGGGAGCTAAAACATTTGGGTAGACATAACCACCTTCATTGTAACGTAACACTGACACATTTACCACGTTCTGTCATTTCTCACCACTGAAACTAACAAAGAGTTGAATTTTTAGAAACAGCAGAAGGACAAAATAAAAATCATGAAGCTGCCTTCGAGCATTGATAGAAACAACAACAACCATGAAAAGGGCCTACCTTGCAGCCTTCACAAGTAATGACACCATAATGGATTCCTGATGATTTGTCTCCACAGATCTTGCATGGAATAATTTCAATTTGAGCTGCAACAGAAGCACGCAACCAGTTAATTACATTTTCCTTTAAACACCTTATAAAAGCGTTCCCTGATCAGCATTTGTATAGTGAAAACTAATAACCTGCTAAACATTATACTGCATTAACTATTCATTGCTGAACTGTGAGGGTCCCCCTAGAGCCCTGGACTAAATTATGGCTGCTCGTTATATAATAGCTTTCGGGTTATTAAAATGGGTCATTTGAGAAGGTGTTTAAGAACCCCCAAGAAGGCTGGAATCAGCATTTCAAAGCCTTCAAGAACTGGAGAGTTCGCAGTTTAGGCCTCAGAGCAAAGCAGATACTAAAATGTTTCCTCCGATCTCATTTTCCATCATTATTTTTAAAAGGTCATAAATCTGTCTAGGCTGCGCATTGTGGCTCGACTAGAAGAGAAAAATTTACTCTAAACAGCTAATTCTGCTTAGAAAAATAATTCAAAATGTACAGAAACATAAGTTAAGAATTCCTTACTCATCTATTAAAAAAAAAATTAATGTAGTTGCCATGTACTAAAAATTAGTCCATCTGTATACAATAAAAAATTTCCAGTTTAAGTATCCAATCTCAGTTTAACAAGGATGAATCCTGACAAGTCGGATATGTAGCTTCTGAGTTATTTATGTAGGAAATGGATTTCCTGGTACAGTGTGCAAGCGTTTCTGCCACTGATTACTTAAAGATGCCTCATGCTGGAAGATTAACCAAATAATTACTACATATCACACCAAAGTTCTCAAACATGACAAAGTGCATTTCTAAGCAAATGTATCACATCTTGAGCAGCACTGGAAACAGTATAATTAAAGGATTAGCAAAGAAACAAAAAAACCACCTGAGGAATAGAATAATTAGGCAAAGCAAAGTGGTTGGCTCAACCATTTAAGGAGAATTTACATGTAAAATAGCTCAACACTGCATAGACAGGATGACAGTACACATGCCAGTTCACCTGGAATGTTCCATTATGATAAATGAATTACTCCATGATTTCCACTACTAAGTATCACGTCCTATTATCTACTAAGTTACACACACAAACACAATGCAAGTACCCAAGTCCTTCTCATATTTATATAGCCTTTACCTAACCCCATACTTTGAATAGAGAAATGACTTTATCCCAAGAACATGTTTCATGATGGAAGTAACATATATACACACACAGTCCCCTCTTCCTCCCATTATTATCCTAGGATAATTTGCACAACCATGTACACTTTGGATATGGCATGATGTTGAACTGAAGACCTAACAAGAGTGTGCATGAAACGACCGTATTTAACAACATAATACACCAAGTGTACCTGGTAACTTGTTTTTGAGAAGTCACCCTGGGGACTTCTAAGGCGCTTGGTAACGTAGTGGTTATGAATCGGGCTGCTAACCTCAAGGTTGGCAGTTCGAAACTACCAGCGGTTCTGCGGGAGAAAGATGAGGCGGTCTGCTCCCGTAAAGATTTACAGCCTCGGAAACCCTTTGTAGGGTCAGTATGAGTCGGAACCGACTCCATGGTACTTAACAACAACAAGTAAATCTACAAGGAGGGTCCTTTTTTCATCATCTGTCCTGCTCCTGTCACCGTTAATGCTGACACGTGGAGTTGCTTTGCTTCTCCTGATGGAGCGATTGTACGAAATCTCACATCCAGTACATTTTCCATAATTCTGAAGTTTTCTAGTATCCCAATAATGGCGTCTTTGTACACTCTTCAACACGTATATTCTGAGCTATGCAACTTAATGTGTTTAAGGTTGCACTTAGCAGAAACTGTCATTTGCAAACCCACCTCCCCATGTTAGTGCTTCTAATTTCTTCAAGGAATAGTCTACCTGAAATCTGAAGTCAAACAATGCTTCACAATTACAACACCTTCAACATTTTTTATACAGTCAAGGTAAAGTTTGGTACCACAGATGATCTGATGACCACCATTTCTGGGAGGCTCACAAGAGCCATGTGGTACCAGAGAAATGCTGAAAGGTAGTATCAACTGAGAACTAGTGCCTGGATTTTCTCAGATGAATTAACTAGTATATAGTGAGAATTGTGGTGCACTAGGATAAGCACTGAACTGCTAACTGCAAGGCTGGAGGTTCAAACCTACTAGCTGCTCCTTGGAAAACCTACAGAGGGTCGCTATGAGTTAGAACCAGCTCAAGGGCACTGAACACCAACACAGTGAGAACCAGCCTCTCCCAATATGTCCTTAAGGAATAGAATAATTAGGCCAAAAAAAAGTGTTTGGACCCCTATTAAACAGGATTTATATGTGAAATAAAGAAGACCACCACTAAGCTTCTGCTTATGTCTCACCTCAAGGTGCAATCACAGAAATGAGAACTGGATCAACCTTGCTAGGCTGGAGAGCTTAAGTGAACATTAAAGCTACCTCAGATCATTAACACAACACTCAACACTGAGTTTTGGCCCTTTCAAGACTTATCTTAATTCTGTCTGAACAACTGGAAGACCAAGTATATCTACTTGTTAAGTGCCCCAAGTGGGTTCAGACTCATAGCGACTCTCTCTAAGGCTTCTGCGGCTGTAAATGTTTCCGGAGCAGAAAGCTTCATTTCTCTCCTACACATATCGACTTCTCTTTCTTGTAGTTAAGTGCTGTCGAGTCGGTTCGGACACAGCGACCCTGTATAACTTGACCCACAGGCGTTGTGATTCAAACCGACCTTGTGGTCCAATGCTTTATCCTACATTGCCTCACCAGGACTCCACGTAATGCACTGGAAAAATATGGTGGCCCAGGCAAGCCATATTGGGAATGCTGAGTAAAGTAAATCTGAAGTCAGATAAAACATGACTTATTGCTTATCAGTCTGACAGGTACCTTTGAGAGCAGAAATGATGGTGTTACAGGCTTTGGCCAAAATGCTTGCAACTTATAGATATGAGATATGAAGGCTTGGCACAGAGGTGTCTGATCAGGATGGGGTGGCTCTGGGAGCTTCATCCTGGCCCTTGAACATTCCACTTTGGACAGCTCAGGCTGTGGGGTACTTGTGGCACAGACCCACACTTTGGTGTCACTATGAGTCAGGCCCCTAAACTCTTGGGTGTAACCAAGTTTCAGGGTCTTTCCCATTTGGAGGATACTCAATTTGAAATATTTGTTAAGACTTATGGAGACCAACAGACTTAGCCTTAGTGCAAATAGGTTCACTGTAGATTGATCTGAATTTCCAAGCAGGAGGCCACTCACCTAGACCTTTGTCTCCTCTGTGTCTGTGCTTACTTCCAGTAGGTAATGCTGGCTACAACATCAGAAATATTGAGCACAAACTTCTCTGGGAGACTCTTAGTAAGGTGATGAATTTTTTTCCAAGGCAAGATTTAGGTGTTCTGATTGGTCAGATTAAGCTACAATACTGGTCGGTGGCTCTCTTCTCGCAGAAAGAAATTTCAGTTGTGAGTGTTGTTTAGGAAATGACTAAAATTAATCTGTTCCAAAGATCAAGCCAGTTGAATGCCATCTAATCACATGCTGATGTTGATAGAAAGCAAACATTTGCAGGTTGGTGCAGGACACCTACAAGGGGGCTTCACAAATTTTGTGGAATAATGGAATTAAAAAATGATGGAATTTTTCCATGAAATTTTTTGACGCCCCCTCATATTCAATCCTCCATTTAAGCCAACAATATCCAAGGCCCCCTGCCCACCCTGGCATTTTAGAAATCAACTTACAAAATTCAAATGAACCAATGAGGGGGGAAGATGTAGTGAATGCTTTGTAAAGTTTTCACACGGCAGGCAGAATAGTCACACGAACTATTTTTCAATCTAACAAGGGAGGAAATGACAAAAATCCTTTGCCTCGCATCCCTCAGACGTCTCCATTTTCTAACAGGTAGTGTTGTGTCTTCTCAAAATAATTTTCTTTGAACACAAATTATGAGTCTTTGCCCATCTATATGCTGCACACATTAACTCAGCCAGCATTTCAAAGGACGAGTTCCAGCAGACACCAGTACTGTCAACGTTCACAAGTATATTGATTAAATTAGCCCATATACATATTCATCACAGCAAAGAGGTTCATTGTGTAGTAGGGTATGTGAAGCAAGACGCGCACACATAATCATGAATTGGCTTAACAATGAACAATCTTGCTATGGAAAATTCTAATTTGCCCACATTTTCAGCTCTATTGCCTAAATAATTTGCTCTTTTATGCACCCTAAGTAATTTAAGCAGGCTTTCCACACCTGCACAGGGAAACGTCTGCAGTTTGAAGGTGCTGACAACAAGTGGCAGCTGGTAGCAGGAAAATCTTAGAAAGCAAGTGAACTGATTAATGTAGTTAATGGTTCGTGGCCTGGGCTGTCACTGAGCATTCTATTTTTATTAAAAAGAAAAAAAAGTTTATTTTTTATTTTATTTTAAACTATAATGGAAAAAGTACATGGGCATTGGTCTGCGTAACCCCTCGATGATTCCTTCAGACCTATCTCGAGAGCTATGTTGGTTCAGAGGATGATGGTCATTCTCCCAAACAGTAAGAACATATAAATCGTATCGCTGTACCTATCACTTCATTCTGTGACCCTCCATAAAAATGCAAAGGATTTAGAATAATGAATGATAGAAAACCTGTCATTGTGCTTATAACATGCCAGGTACGATCTCCTTCACTCCTCCAGGAACCTTATGAGGTAAGCATTAAGATGATGAAGTACATTTGATAGGTGAGAAAAGGGAAGCACAGAGAGGCTCAACAACTCGGCAAAAGTCAGAAAGCGAATAAGTGGCAAGGCTGGGAGTTGGGACACATTTTATTTTTCTGCCTAACTCCAAAGTTTAGCCTTTATTCCTTCTGCCCCCAATACTACGCTGCCAAGTGAAATCACTTTGCTCCATTCCACTCCAATAATGAACATCATCAACATCCTGCCTGCAGTAACCGGTCATTAACTGAGGACCACAAGACACTGCTTATGTGATCATAGTGGTTACGAATGGGCTGCTAATC